AAGAAGGCGAGTTAGACGTGAACCATCTGACCGACTATATTACTTTCGCGTTGCATCAATAAACCGAACTCGGCTGCGGCCTCTCCCAAGCACGGGTGAAAAGGAGGGTTAGAAACCGTGGCGAATTCTACGTAAAACTTAGCTACCTGTCCCTCATGGCATATTGTTGTCATCGAACATTATACGACTCGGTCGTCACCCGGCCCGGGTTACCAAGGGTCATGAAGGCTGCAAAAAGTCTGCGATCAGGACCTACTCGTCGCCTTCTGACAGCCGGAGGCGTAGCAGCACAACAACGGCGGTAGAACGTCATCTAAACGGCGACGAACATTCCTATTAGCAATTGAGTCGCTACCCGTTCTGAACGGAGGAGGCAGACAGCGCGATTTCTGACAGCAGTCAGAAATCGCTCCACAGGAATGACATAGCCAGTGGAAGCTTACAGTCAGAAACCAACATATCCTCACTCAGAACGAAAGAGCAGCAGCTAGTTGATGAGGCCTCAAGGTGCCAACTTGACATAGTTCGATTTTTGTCAACGACGCGGAAAGCCTCTGGAATCCCGAACGTTTACGGGTGGAAGCTATTCTATTCAGGGCCGATTTCACGACGCGCGCTCAGGCCGGTGATGTTGTTCTGGTAGAACCCAACCTGGCTGATAGAATCACTGAATGGAAGTCTGTTAGTGGAAGAGTGGCAGTTCTCCGACGCTAAAACAGGCTAAAGCTTTGACCTTGTACAGGTCTATGCGCCAAAATTGGAGAACATGAATACTTTCTTGAAGAAGTTGAATATGCTCTGTAGGAAGTGCCGAATATGGAGTCCCACATTCTACTGGACAACTTCAATGAACTTGTCAGAGCAGATATTGAAAAGTGGAAAAGCGTGATTGGAAAAAAACGACCCTAGTGACCTCAACAGTAACGACATGAAGTTGTTGTGGTTTTATGCAGACAAAGGACTTTCTCTTATGAACACCTTCTTCGAGCATCAGCATACCTAGCACAGGGAAGCTTGTGCACAAAAGTCGATGATCGATTTGATAATCGTTAAGACTTGACTTATGACGATTTATATAGGATGTTCTCGTTAAGAGATGCGCAGAGCTATCAACCGATCATTACCCTATTGTTGGCACGCTACGCTGTGAGAAATGTAGTACCCTGCGATTATCTCGTGACAGAACCAACTAAAGGATCAAACAGAAAATATTATCAGCAGATACGCAACGACACTTGCAACTAGCATTGCACGACAGTTTGAACAGATCCTGGAGAAGTCGCTGATATGGAAACTGAGTGGAGCTCTTAAAGGATTCAAACGGGCTGGCCTGCCGTCTACAAGTGAGAAAAGAACTTCCTGATGGACATGAGAGGTACAACTGGCAGTCAAAGAGAAGAAGGCTGCATTCAAGAAATGGCTTGGAAACAAAGACCCTTCCACTCGCAGCGAAAATAGTGGTAAAAAAGAAAGCTGAATCTTGGGAGAAGTTCGGTGAGATGTTGAAGTTAAGTTTCCAGACGGCAAATAAGGCATTCTTGCAGACCATCCGCTGGCTCCGAGGCGAAAAG